GGAGCTTGACCATTTAGAGCTTTATAAGTTAACAGTAGGATTTTAAATTCAATTCTGGATTTTACAGGGAGCCAGTGCAGAGAAGCTAAAACAGGAGAAATATGATCTCATTTCTTAGTTCCTGTTAGTACACGTGCTGCTGCATTCTGAATTAGCTGGAGAGTTTTTAAGGACTTACTAGAGCTACCTGATAATAGAGAGTTACAGTAAACCAGCCTAGAGGTAACAAAAGCGTGGACCAATTTTTCTGCATCTCTTCGGGTCAGGATAGGCCTAATTTTCGCAATATTACGCAGATGAAAAAATGCAGTCCGTGAGGTTTGTTTTAAATGAGAATTAAAAGACAAATCTTGATCAAATATTACTCAAGATGTTACAATCAATATGTGTAGAATTTAGTCAAGGTTGAAACTGCGAGACAAGAATAACTTGAAACTTGTGACAAATGTTATTACCATGGTAAAAAGTAGAAGAAAATGTTGTGTCAGAAGCACTGTATGTGCTGATTGGGTGCTGCAGCAAGACTTATCGCTACATCCTTGACTGTGGTAGGTTTCTGCAGTGTAGAGGACAGATGAAGGAAACTGTATCCCTTTTAACATCAGTTGCTAGGGAGTGGTGTGCAATAAAGAATCGCTCAAATTAATCAGAGCTGTGTAGCTGCTTGGGTGGTGTCAACTCACTGACTGATCTTCAGGTCTCACAGAGGACTCATGACTTGTAAGAGACAGGCCTGGTTATCTGGAAAAGAGTAGCCAGTTCCTGGAGTGTGCTGACAGCTCAGCCACTTTGACTGGGACTAGTGTGCAGGATGCTGTGACCTATTAAAAGCTGCAGGCCTGGTAAGCTGCGGGAGGGCTGTCAAGTCCAAGATAGAGATCATCATGTGAAAAATGATGGCGTTCAAGCAGAGCTGTGGGATTTTGTCTTGACTGCAGTGCACACCCGGAATGAAAGGAGATGGCTGAACAACACTCTGTACATGTGACCAAGAAACACGTTAACGGGAGAGGGTGATTAATGGCCGTGTTTGTGTAATTACTGTAATGGAGCACTGCAGTGTTACACAAGTCCGTTGGAAGGATATTCATTTGGAATATTTATGTATGTTAGTAAAAAGATAGAGAGAGCAAGGACGTGTAGCAGTGTATGCCTGAGTGAAACCCCATCAATACAAGTTTCCCCCTCATATCCTAATAGTTTTGTTAAGAAAAGTATGCTTTTATCTCATATTTTACTGCCCAAAGACTTAGGCGAGTCTGTTTCCCTCTCTGGTGCAATAATACAAAAGGCTGAATTTTAATTTCAGTAAAAACTGACATCAAGAATGCAACAGCCTTCACTCCCATCACACCTTTACTTTGATTCCTAAATACAAACCATGTTATCAAGAGCCATCTTTTCCTTTACTTCCCTATCACTCTACATCTTTGTTTCCCCTGTGCAGGCCAGGCCTTATAGCTTCTTCCAATAAAGATTCTGCTGCATTGACGTCAGCCTCTTGCCTGCACTGCGGTGTGTCATATGATGTTCATGTTACGACCAGCAGCTCTTTGTCAGCTCAATACATAAAGGTACCCTGCAACATCTTAATGAATCATTTTAATTGAGCAGAGAGCAGAACATGATGGCAGTATTTTTTTTTAGCATACTCAGCTGCAGTGTTCCTGTAACCACACCACTTCCTGAGCGCATCTCTGCTCAACCTATAAGTGCCTGCTGAATACATGTGAAATGTTCCTGACATGCTTGTACATATTTTATTAGGTGGTTTGCTGCCATCTAAACAAGGTATCTTTTGTTGTTTTTAGAATATTGTCCATTAATTTTTACTTTTATTTATCAATGCGTTGAGTATGTTGTCTATATGTTATGTACCCGCTATTTAATCTGTGGCTCAGTGTAAATGTGTGATATGTTTTAACGCCCATTTCACTGTTTTATTGATTTATGCTTTTCTTTAAACATAAAGTCGTTGTAATAGATTCGCCCCGATGGATGTTTATGGTTTAGCGCTAATGACCTTTAAAGATATACTATGCAGGTTAGTTACTGTTTGTTAATAGTATCGCTGGCAAAAGTAAAAGCCAGCGCTAGATTCACTTTGCTTGGTTTATGACCTCACGACCTTTGCATTTTTATTTATTTCTTTTTTCAGCGCTGTGTCTGCAATATTTGTGGTCTCCTCTTCGATGCGTACTGCTTACAGTCTAGCACCTGGCAACTATATTTCTATAAAGTCCCAACCTCACCTGTACGCTGTAAAGATAAGAAGAAAATAAGAAAATACAGGCAGAGGGCCGAGTCAGATGATGACTGAGAAGGGTTACTATACATTCTATATTGTGTTGTTTTTTTTTTAAAGGAAAATCCTGCATAGCATACCTTTAAGGTTTTCGTTAAACCTACATTTGTTGATTTTTTTGTCCACTTGGGGGCAGCAAACATTATATCACCTTATAAAGTTACTATAACAAATGTGTTTTAAACAGTTGCCTATTTACATATCCAACAGATTGGGAGCAACATTCACATTCATTGTAGTTGAAACTTTGAATGTAAATGCAATATTAAATTTCCTTTTAGCTCAGTGTTGGTTTCCACCAACTCCTGAGGGAATTGTTTGACCCCTTTAATCTGTAGAGGTGAGTGCAGAGTGGTGAGAGTGAAACAAAACAGTGAAGCTACAGGCAAAAAACAAAACAAAACTAAAAGGTAAAAAAACTTATTCTGCAGAGCTTAAGGGGAACTGCAAAGACATGATAATTCTCATTACTTCATCAACCCTTTTCTTAATACACATTTGATCCATTGTTAACATAAAAATAATGTATTACACCTTGCATGTAAAAAAAGATTCAATAAAATAACAAAATACTTTATATAAATATATCAATTAAACATTTTGTAGTGATGACACCGTTAATCAGTTTTGTGTTGTTCCAGCCAAAGTGTTGTTGTATTGACTTCAGGGTTCAATAAATCAACCAAATATTTCCATTTCTGATGATCAGATTCAAAAAATTACTTTCCTCTGCTCTTCAACTCTTCGAGACATAAAATCACATGAATATTACATGAAAATGAAAAGGAGATAAACACATAACGGTAATAAAGTTCCATTTTATTCATTTCATAACGTTCTGTGATGTAAGTGATTTAATTACAATGTAAAGAAAGAACTGAAATGTGTTAACATTGATTTAGTATAAGTAGGCCAAAAATAAAAGAGTAAGGCATGGCTTCTATAAACTAATGGTGCCAATTAATATAAAACACTGCAGGTCAAAATAAATATCGCTTTCAACATTCTTCTGACACTTCTCTATTTCACACTTCTTTCTATTTCTACGCATGTTGTTGCACACGGGGCTGGTTCACTTAACTTGGCTCATTTAATTGGTTCTGGTATCGTACATTGGCAGTTACAATATCACTATAGTTAGAGTATAATGTGCATAAAGTCAGTATTTTAATGGATGGTGATGATGTTGAGTGCATGAGCTGATGATGTTATTCACACAATCCTCCCCTGAAGCAGTGGACGACTCTCTCCTGGTGACTGTCGGCTCAATAGGTTCCACAACAACATAGGCACTGATGTTACCGCTGAACTGCCTCCATTACTGTCTTCTCTCAGTGGCTGATATTGTTTAAACCGCCTGCACAGAAACATGAAACAGGTGAGATTGGTGAGAATGGTTCACTAAAAACTAAGTTAAAGTAAATATGTGGTTTTACCCAGTGACATCTAGGAGTTTATATGGCATTAAATAGGGGCCTAAATGTCAAAAACATACAAAATCATAAAAAAGTAAAAAAGGAATGAAAACTGTTTAACTGTTTAAAAAGAAAAGAAAAAGAAGAAAGATAGTTCCAAGAAGTTTGGTACGGACCACAGACTCTATGTAAAGATGGACCACCTGGTTCTACTTACTCCCATCGTACAAAACGAGACATGTAAAGCAGCAGATACATCCACCTGTATTGTACACAACATGCCCTTACAAACCACTTCCACCACTAGTGCAAGACAAACCCACCATCGTTACGGATATCTGAACCCTGCCACAATGCAACACTGTAATGAATAATTATGAGGGCAAATGTAGCAATGATCAACTTAACAATTCATTCTAAATGAACACGTGATTCACTTTATAAGTAATGAGATCAAACTCTAAATCTTAACCATAACAGCCTCTCTTTTAACCCAATACTTTTTATAGCATCAAATAACTCATTAAAACCAAACACATTAGAAAATGAAAATTGGCACATACAGTACTTTAGCATGATAAGAACTACATAAAATGGCAAAAACCATCTTTGGAAAAAAGTTTGAATTTTTTTGTTTGGCCCATGTCCCATCTGCTAACATAGAGGGAGCGAGGTTACTGCAGCCGGCCACCAGGGGGACAATCAGGATGTTATGGCTTCACTTTTTGGTAACTGTCCCCTCAGTATGAACTGTAAACAATTTGGTGATTCCTTAACTTTTCATCCAGAACCATCATCAGGATAAAATTTCAATTTGTCCAAAACTAAAATTAATGTCCAAATACCTGCAAAGCTATAGGTAGCAGATTTTTTTTTTCTTTTTGGTGCTTATTAATGAATGTTAGCATTCTGACACACTACACTGTGATGGTGAACATGGTAAATGTTCCCTGCTAAACAACAGCATGTTAACATTGTCATTGTGTGCATATTAGCGTACTGATGTTAGCTCAAATTACTGTTGAAAAGGCTCAGCTGTCAGCTGTCTGTTTGGGTGTTCCACAGAGATCAGTCCCCAGACCCCTTACTTTTTCTAAGGGCCCCAACACACCGAGCCAATACTCAGCCGCTGATCAATTTCCTAGCCCGTCGGTTAAATGAAATCACTGTGACTGGTATTTCAGCTCAGTGCAGGAAAAGAAAAACAGAATTGAAGAAAGCAAACAAACAACTAAATCTGAGAGGGTGTGAGATAAAAACAAACTTGTTGTATAAGGTAAAATTGTGTTTTTCAGCCACTTAGCTCTTTAGCAGATACGGTTTGTAATTGCATGTGTTAGTGTTTGCTAGCACATAGTAAATATCATTTGATTTTTCAACATCAAGTTGTGCTGATATTGTGCTAACTGGCTGGAATCCAACTTGTCGGTCTTGAGGGTCTTGGGTAAGATACAGGAGACATGAGGCCACCCAACAGGCAGCCTTCACCGTCACCAGTTCTTTGATGTTGGTTTGGTGTGTCTGGGCCTTAACACTGTATATGTGAATGATACTATACTGATGACTCAGTTTTACTGGTCACTTTTTAATATTGTGCATACTGGCTTATTGACATGGCTTCTGACACACCTAAACTGATCTGAGGCATCATTTATGTCATCACCTGTATGTTTCCTGCTGTGACAAATTAAATCTTCACATTAAAATGGAGGCAAAAACAGATTTTTCTTTTTTTTTTCATTCATATTTGCCTCACATTAAATTCATAAATTAAGTTAATAATAAATTAGGTACTCACCTGTACATCAAACCAATGCAACAGACAACACAGGCGAGAACCATTACCCCCAGGACTGTGGCTGCAGTTCCAGCTGGGGAACCACCAGAGGCTGCAATTGAAGCACATCATACAAATAAGAGAAAAATCTATAAATTGAGTAATTTAGTGGTTATTAGTTCATTTTTCTTTCACCCACCTAGTGTTACACTGACTCTAGCACTTGCCACAGCAAGACTGACATCATTGGTCAGGGAGACATTGATGCAAAATACTCCGGAGTCATTGAAGAACTGACGAAGGATCATTTGACAGTCTGGAGAGGGTGTAGCTGCATTACAGACCGTTTCCACAGGTGTGATACAGTCAGCATCTGATATGACTGTGCAGACCTCATTTGGCAGACTGGAGAAAGGGTAGTGAAAATGCAGAGACATAGTTACAAAAAGAACAATCATAAGTGGATATGTTATTTTATAAATAATATTTTTTTTTGTGCTAAGCATAATGCTTAATAAGACAATACATATCCCAGTTTCTGTGTTGGCAACCTACAAGATCATTGTTGCAATACTTTTATGGACCATTAGTCAAAATCAATACACTTCTAAAGTTAAGCTGAACAGTAAGTGAACCTCTTGACCCTGCCTGGGTGCTCTCTTTATTGAGTTGATGGATGTTACTGCTCACCTTCCCTGACAGGTAATGGTGACGTCCACAGCATTCTGATCCAACTCAGTCGCCATTGCTACAACGTTGGTCATCTGTACAATCTCTACACTTTCAATACCCTCTGCAGGGTTGAAAGAGGCAGAAGGGGAGATTTAGACACCATTAAACCCTACTCGTTTACTATTAAAGCAGAACATCATCGAATGAAGTATAAACTGCCATAGCTACAAAAACTGTATTGACTCACGAATAACATCTACAGAGGTGGCGAGGGAGCCATAACGGTAGACCATGCAGTCAGCTGTCAGCTCTGGTGCTTGTCTTTTAGCCACAACGAGGGGAACCTGTGCTGGATCTGCTTCTGCCTCTGCTTGGACTTCAGCTGCAAAGGCCTCTTCATCACCTGCTGGTTGTTTTGGAAAATAAGAAACATTTTGCCATAATACTTCTGTAACAAGAGACATCTTTTTATTTTCTGTATACTTATTTTAGTTTACAGTAAACACTCACCTGCAGGAGCTGCAGCTTCATTCTCAGTTGCCTGTACTTCAGTCTCAGTATCAGCAGCTGGTGCTGCCTCTTCTACAGCTGTGGCCTCAGTGGCAGCAGGGGCTACGATGTTATCAGCAGGAGCTTCTGTTTCAGCCTGGACCACCTCTGCATCAGCATCAGCATCAGCAGCAGCATCGACAGCTACGTCGACTTCTTGCTCAACAGGTACTTCGGCTGCAGGAGCAACAGTGGCAGCGCCAGCGTCCTCAACTGCAGCTTCTTCACCCTCTGCAACAGGTGCAACTGAAGCAGCAGCGTCAATCACAGGCTCATTTTCTTCAGCTGCATCTGCAACCACTGCGGTTTCATCTGCAACTACTGCAGTTTCATCTGCAACTACTGCAGTTTCATCTGCAACCTCTGCGTTTTCATCTGCAGCAGCTATATCGGCATCAGCAGCTGCGTCGGCATCTGCAGCAGTTGTATCGGCATCGGCAGCAGCTGCGTCGGTGTCTGCAACAGCTGCATCGATGTCTGCAGCAGCTGCATCGGCATCTACAGCAGTGGCCACCTCACCTGCTGCTGCATCTGCACCCTCGGCAGCAACATCCGTTTCTGCAGCAGTGTCAGCAGGATCTTGTTCCTCTGGAGCAACAGCTGTGTCGACTACTGCAGGTGCTACTGAGGCAACCTCTATCGCCTCTGTGTCTGCATCAATGACTGCTTCTCCATCTTCTGCTTCAGCTGGCTGCATGGACGCAGCGAGGGGAGTGGCGTCAGAGGCAGGAACGTCCAGAGCAATTGCATCTCCTCCCTCAGCTGGTGCTGCAGGGACGGCTGCAGGGGTGGAGGCCATCACAACTACTGCTGGAGCAGCAGAGGCATCCATAGGAACAGCTGAAAGAAATGTTAAAGACAACTGAGCCAAACTTATTGCACACTTCTTATAGGAAAATATGTATGTCTGAAAGATAAAAAGAGAATAATTAGTTTAAAATCTCACCAGCAGTGGGGTTTCCACAGCCATTGGGGATGCTTGCCATCAGGACCACCTGAGGTTTGAATGTCCCGACTGTGAGGTACGTATGTGTGACGGTGAGGTCTCTGGAGATCAGGGTACCAGTGCTGTCACCAAAGTCCCAGCTGAAGCTGATGTCAGCGTTGTTGAGATACTGGCTGGGATCGTGGAGCTTGACGCTGAAAGCAATGGCTCGGTTCTGGATGAAGTTCTGGTCGTTCTCGTTAACATCATTGACTTGGGTGAGCGATATGGTGAAGGGAACCTGGTCTGAGGACGGAGTAAAAGACGTGGAGCTAGTTAAAGAAATAATAACAATGTAGAATCATTTTCCTCCAGCTAGGTTAGAAATTGTTGGCTAGGTCACCTGTGATGGTGAAGACCGTGGAGGCATAGCCGAGAGGGATGAACTTGTCTTTGCCGCGGCAGTGATAGATGACAACCTCCATGTTGTAGGAGCCCAGGGGGACATTGTCTGTACCGATAGTGAGGGAGGAGGAGGGTCCGTCTGCCACCTGCCAGTAACGCCCTTGAACAGAGCAGCATTGTAATTATTTACAGTGGTCTGGCGATCACAGTGAAAGTCACTGAATTCACAAATTTTGGAGACACTCCAGGTGTTACTTTTATCATGTAGAACATGAGATTCTACCATGTCTTTGATTTGTTGTGGAAGACAAACAGAATAAAGAAATTAACTTTTTATTTTCTGAATTGCGTTGAAGAACAGACTTTTGGTTAAAAAACATGGTGAAGAATGTCTCCAATTTTTTCTTAAATTTGGCACATGTTGGCTTCTTCTTACCTGGTGCTCTGCTATTAAATGAATGAATAGTGTCAGACTTTGCAACTAGTTTACCAAAACAGGTAAATAAAATAAAACTTCTTAAGGGGCGTTACAAATTTATCCACATTATACTAATTAATCAGGGAATAAGTTAACAAACAAATCATTTCCCTGAGTTAAAAGCACAATTTCAATACAATATGCATTTTCCTTTACAGTGTGTCTTCAAATGTAAAAATGTGATGATTTTTTTCATGACAGTTATAAAATGCTGGGGATCAGCACAAACAAGTTGTTTACTGAAAAGGCTTTGTTTGTAAAACGACCTGGGGCAAATATTAAACTTTCTGTAACTATACTATTAAAACTATTCATTTAAATGAATAATTTCTTACTGTTTTTGATATTTTTGTCAGATATGCAATGATAATTGTTGGGTAATATATATTTTGATGCTGTCTGATGTCAAGTCTCTATTTGTGTCAAGACAATGCATGCACGATAGCATGTACTAGGGCCCGTCATAATAGTGTGCACTGGGGCCTGTCATAACTTCCTTACGCCACTGCTGGAGGCAATGATGGATGGCATGACACATAGGCAAGACACCTGACATGCATAACACTATCGGAGAGCAACAAACAACAAAACCAGTTGTGTTTTAACAACCCATTGCTGTGTTTCCAGCAGCCTTTTTGGCAGTTTTTTACAGAGACATCGCTGCTTTTCCAAGGGGCCAGCCAAAGTATTTTAAGCCAAAACATCTTCTCCTAAACATGATCAAGTGTTTTTTTATACCTAAACCTAACTGCAGCATTGTTGAAATGTAAAGTGTTCTGTTCTTTGTCTCTATGGAGCTTTTACATGTTAATGTAAAGTATTCATGGCATTTGCAGTATTTTGGTGTCCTGCAGCATTAACTGCAGCTAAGGATCAACCTTGGTTTTTAACAGTAAATATTATATTAAAGTAAATATTATAAAATTAAATATCTTTACCCCATGTCTTCCACACAAACACATAGTGGGGTTTCTTGTTCTGGCTCCTGTTGAAGGGTGTACCATCAGGAAAAACTCCAGTCGACTGGGAGTCCTGGTCAGGATACACAGCCTGACCCGCCTGGTACTGTTGTCCTGAAAAAGACGACAGCCACAGATCATACATTCATAGCAATAACAGACATGTGATCATTCCAACTGTAAGACTGCATATAGTTATAAGGAATTAAAAAAAGGGAATAAATTGTCTTTTGACCTTTCATAATGAAAGTAGCACAGTTTCAAAAATCACATTGATTATGATAAATATTCAGTGGTCTAACAGGTAATTCACAGATAAATTTGTTCTTTTGCATAATCATCTGTACATTATTTAATGAGTTTTTTCTTACTAATTTCTTGATATGGGAGGTCTAAAAACAATTAAAATCCTTAGGAAACATCATGTCAAAAATGTGTCTTGACATTAAGATCATGTTGTAGTCAAACTTGTGATAAAATTATCCTTTCACAGAAAAGTTTCTTACCATTGATGGTACAGTTTTGTGCCCAGACCACCTGTCCGTCAGGCAGCATTGTCTGATTTGGTGGGAAATTAAGATTAATATTGAAGGTTGCTTTTGCTCCAGTCAGGGTGGGTGCATCATTTTTCAGATCAAAAGTTACTTCACCACCTGAAAAAAACAAACACATTTTAACATCTTTGGCTTGACCTGCAGACAGAATATTGTAACATTTCTGTTTTGAGAAACTGAGAAATGAAGCCTCACCAGACCAACAGTTCCTGAATCTTGGGTCTCCATCTTTCCATACGGGATACATCCGTGAGTTCCATGAGCGGTAACGTGTGAACTGACTTCTAGACTCTGGAAGAAATATCAAAGACTCTTCAGGAAAAGAAGCTACATTCTGCAACACATGCTATTTTCATAAGTTTCAACTAGCACATATGATGAAAAAATACATTTTTTTTAAAGCTTTTATTTCTAAAATCCATTCCTCAGCTGCAAAAAATGTACGTCAGTATTATTCAGCGTATGTTATATGATATTTATGTTTTGTTTGTGCCTGTTATACTATTAACTGCTTATTTCATTCGAATTAAAGTTGTGTACGCCTTTTAATAGAGGCACAACTTTTATATTTATTTCTATGATAATCAAGCAGGATTTGGACATAATGACAGATGCTTATGTAAATGAGAGCGGGTCAATGTTTGTGGTGTTGAGGAGGAGTGAGGAGTGTCGGGGTTCTTGGCGGTGGGAGTCACACGACCTGCAATCCCCCTCAATCCCTTTCATGTGACCATCAGCTGAGCAGCAGCATCAGTAATCCCAGTGAGAGGAATGAGGGATCCCAGACAACTGGCTCCCTGGGCTTTTTTCCTCAGCCTGTGATGTGTGTATATGGAAAAGCCATTGCATAAAATAAGATGATGAATGTTTTTCAATTTCCCAAGTGTGACAAGACAAGACCATACATGACAGAACAGTTTTCTGAATAATTGCACTGAATTATCATGGATGCAAACTGCCAAAAGGTTGTACATCTTCCCTCTCAGTGCGGAGCGCGTTAGCATGAAATAAGCATGGAAATGAGAGATATTTATTTGCTTTTCAATTTGTAGTCCAAACAGTTACAGACTAAAGCATGTAACTGATGGCAAAGCAGAACATTAGTCACAGACAATGAACATTAACCACTCTCCCTGTTGCAAAAACTCCATCTTAACAAATTATTTACACTCAACTCTTAAACTTTGCTTTTCGTAAAAGAAAGAATTAAGCTAACAAGATAGATAAGGTAATTCCTCTTTATTCGTATGCAGAGTATCAAATGAAATACAAAAGTTCATTGTAATAGCACTGAGAAAAAAAAATTGAACTCACTTGTCGCAGTGGCAAATGTAAAAGCCAAAACCAGCAGCAGCAGTGCCAGAGTCCTCATCCTGTATTTGTTGGTCTGTCTCCTCTCTCTGAGCCCCGATCCTCACCCAGCAGTCCTGAACCCCAACACAACTCCCAGAGAGACTTAAGAAATGTCCTTTCGCTCTCTTTATGAGGGCCTCAGACCTGAATTACCATAAAGTTTCTTCTCACCTCTGACATCACTGGGAGTCTCGGACTGGGACCACCCCCTTGAGAAAGAACAGATATGAGTACTGCTTTCTTACTAATTATTACAAACTATTGTTGTGTTTTATAAAAACTGTTGTGTTTACTTGTTGACATTATGATCTTTTCTATTAATTCTTTTTCTCTGCCTGAGTTAGCAATGATTTTACTTTGTGTGTTATGTGTATTTTTGTTTGAGAACAGTGGTAGAATGTAACTAAGTACATTAAGTTAAGCATGGGTGGATGATGAGACAACAGGCCCCTGGGCACAGACATGCAAAAGGCCCCTCCACCTTCCCTACACAGGAGCAAGACACAGAATTTGCGCAGGGTTTGCCTTTTTTAATTGTTGTTGTCGTTTTGTGTATCTTATTAGTTGTCAAGATCTTTTTGTAACCTTGTGTCTCTGTGTGGTAATTTTGTGTGTCCCTGTGGTTGTTTTGTGTTTTTTATAAACATTTTGCATCTCTTAGGGATATATTAATGTCCTTTTTGGTAATTTTATTTCTTTTTGTAGTTCCTTTGCATCTCCTTATAGGTGTTTTGTGTCACTTTGAGGTCATTTTGTGCCTCTGAGGGGTATATTTGTGTATGTTTTGATCATTTTATGTATCTTTGAAATCGTTTTTTGTCTCTATGTACTTCCTTTGCATCTCTTTGTGGTCATTTTGAGTATCTTCCAGATCGATACATGTTAATTTGAGTGACATTTTGCAGGTGAAGGTTGGGGGGCCACTAACACTTTGGCCCCTGGGCCTGTTCCCAGTAGGCCCGTTTGGTGATCATTTATGAACTTAAATACTGTACTTAACTTTTGAGATACTGGTGCTTGAGAATTTCCATTTTATGGTACTTAATATTTCTCCTCCACTACTTGTCAGAGAGAAATAACTGAACTTTTTACTCTACTGCATTTGTTTTAAAGCTGTAGAGTTACTTTGCAGATTTACATTATTAATGCAAAATGTAAAATCAACAGCTAAATTAGGATAGGCCTATATTATTAAAGTAACCCAGCAGTATATAAAGTATATAACTCCATTTATTGATGTACACATTAATGCATCACTAATGATACTCCAGTAATATAGTATACATTATTCTGAAATGAATCCTTCTCCCCAATGAGTACTTTTACTTTTGATACCAAAGTATATTTTAATGCTAATAGGCTATTTATGTACTTTTACTTAAGTAAGACTTAGAATGCAGGGCTTTTACTTGTGACAGTGTATTTTTTACACTGGTATTTCTACTTTAAATGGAATAAAAGATTTGCTTCTTTCACCACTGCTTAAATGTAAACCATATTTAATCCAAATTTCACTCATTTTTTTCTGATTCCAACACAATGTGTCATAAATGCAGTCTCTCAAATAAGGAACCTCTAGAGAAAGGAACTTGTACGGTAATTTAATACAGAAAAAACGCTCCAAAAGATGGATATACTGCACGTTAATAATTCAAACGAACACAAAGTAACAGACGTGCCTCGAGCAGGACAATATTTTCTGAGTGCATTACTGGAAAATCAATGGATTCTTTCTGCGCAGTGTAAGTGAAATTGTTGTACATAATGCCTGCTCAAGGAAGGAGAGAGTGGTGAGATCTGTGAGCAAAGCTCAAGTCATGCCTGTTTTTGACGTATGACCTTAGAGCTATGTGTGCATGGGCATCACAAGAGCAGTGTGTGGGAGGCAAATCAATAGCATCCTTTTATTTCCTCAGCTATTCCTCCGTATTCAGCTGTCCACCTCAGGCTGCTGCTGCTCTAAGAATGTGTGCTCGCAGCAACACAGACACACCCATGCTCAGTTTATGAGGCATAATCCAAAGTTTCATTCAGAAGAGGACAAGAATGCATTTGAGGAAGGAGCTGATTGATTCTGGGAGTGATTAAAGAACAAAAAACCCATCTTCACTGTTAAACTGTCACCTTCTTGAATGTAAATGATTTTTATCAGTTCCCACGTCTGTTATTTTCCACTTGCTTGTTTATAATACAAATATGAGTCACATTAAGGCCAATGAAGCAGCTCACATGTCGCATTCAAACAACACAAGGCACACGGCATCAATAAATCCTGAAATAAGATATCATTATGCAAAATGAATTATTTATGTTATCCTGAGTGCCTGGGTTTATGTTGGATTAAAAAAAACAGTATCCATATCTCAAGTACCCTACAATCAAGCAGGATACTTGTATATTTATCAAAACTGAATATGTTTCTAATATGAAAGCAATTGCTATGCAGAGGAGGCTGGATTAAGGATTTTATTATTATTATTATTATTATTATTATTATTATACAAGTTTATATTATATCATATAAGTGATTCTGACAAAAAAATCATATTGTTTTCCTTAAAGAGTAAAATCTGAAGTTATAAAAGGTGGGAAAAAAAATAAAAGAAAAAAAGTGGATGCGTTCATAATAGTTTTTCAAAGAAGAAGGGCTGTGTGCACATCCAAAGACTGTATTACGTACCAGGTGCAGGACAAACAGGTGAAATCAAAAATTGAAATTGAAGAGCGGACAAGGAGAGAGAGGGAGCAGCAACAAGCAGAGGAACATGTCCGAATCCAGCTAAAGGTTAACACAGACGTTCATTTTATTTCCGTTATGTTGTCGGATAATTATACTAACAATCCGAGCCTATCTGTGTGAAAAAAATGCACTTTTAGTGGACATATTTTGACGTTGTTTGAAGCAGTCTGAGTGCCCTATTATTTAATATAGCGCAAGCACACGGGCTGCAGGCAGGTCAGCCCTAGCTTCGTACTGGAGAAATGTCAAATATTGAACATCCTGTCACTCATTTAGACAAAAGTAGATCGGAAAATAGGGCCCAGGTTGAAAAAAACATTAGTTCCCCTTTAAGTGTATAATCACCTGAAAGTAAGAATCATTGGGTTTTATAACCTTAGAATGAGCTGTTTATTTCTACATAGGGAGCAGGTCCTCATCCATGGAGTCCACCATGTTGCTCCTCCATGTTTATACAGTAGCCCAGAACAGACAAACTAAACACTGGCTCTAGACAGGGCCACTGTAGTTAGCAGCCCCTCTGTGATGAGCGGTGTCAGAGAAACACTGATATGTAATGTGAAACTGCTTTATTCAGTGTTTTAAACTGTTTAAACCACCTGGTCTGTTTCTTTTGGAGAGGAAGAGACTTCTGCGGATAATTCAGCTCCTGGTAGAAACCTCTTGAACAATGAACTCTAAAGGAATCTTAACCGGGCGAAGTTTCAGCTGGTTGCAATCTGCAATCCTCACCACTAGATGCCACTAAATCCCCCTAAATCTTACACACTAGCCCTTTACAGTTATTTCTCTTTTTCTTAAATACACATATTTTACACATCCTTTTTCTTTTCCTTTGGACTTGTTTCATTTTTCTGTAACTACTTCTGTGTGTTAATGTTAATGTTAATGTGTTAAAATGTAATTTAAATACACAGTGAATATATTATTATGCAATTATATTTTACTGAGGGGCTGTTATTGTCATAGTGATTAGTGGTTTTTCCACTGATGTTGTCTCATGCCTGTGAGTCTGCTCAGGCTGCTCCACATGTGACCCCTCATGTGCTAACAGCAGAGTTCAGGAGGAAGTAAATCCTTCCCACAGAGCACCTGACTTAACATACCACAAACAGTCGACCGTTAGCTTCTTTGCTCATTAGTCTCCATTGTATGGTGTCTCAATATCACGTTTGGGGAATTTGTAGAATTAAAGACAACATAGAGAGTTGTTTTTCAGACTGAGGGACTCATTTCAAAGAATTGAAAATCTGGGAATTTTACAACTGCTTGCTTTCCAGGAATATTCCTTGATGTACAGTACAGGCCAAAAGTTTGGACACACCTTCTCATTCAATGCGTTTTCTTTATTTTCATGACTATTTACATTGTAGATTCTCACTGAAGGCATCAAAACTATGAATGAACACATGTGGAGTTATGTACTTAACAAAAAAAGGTGAAATAACTGAAAACATGTTTTATATTCTAGTTTCTTCAAAATAGCCACCCTTTGCTCTGATTACTGCTTTGCACACTCTTGGCATTCTCTCCATGAGCTTCAAGAGGTAGTCACCTGAAATGGTTTCCACTTCACAGGTGTGCCTTATCAGGGTTAATTAGTGGAATTTCTTGCTTTATCAATGGGGTTGGGACCATCAGTTGTGTTGTGCAGAAGTCAGGTTAATACACAGCCGACAGCCCTATTGGACAACTGTTAAAATTCATATTATGGCAAGAACCAATCAGCTAACTAAAGAAAAACAAGAGGCCATCATTACTTAAAGAAATGAAGGTCAGTCAGTCCGGAAAATTGCAAAAACTTTAAATGTGTCCCCAAGTGGAGTCGCAAAAACCATCAAGCGCTACAACAAAACTGGCACACATGAGGACCGACCCAGGAAAGGAAGACCAAGAGTCACCTCTGCTTCTGAGGATAAGGTCATCCGAGTCACCAGCCTCAGAAATGGCAAGTTAACAGCAGCTCAGATCAGAGACCAGATGAATGCCACACAGAGTTCTAGCAGCAGACCCATCTCTAGAACAACTGTTAAGAGGAGACTGCGCCAATCAGGCCTTCATGGTCAAATAGCTGCTAGGAAACCACTGCTAAGGAGAGGCAACAAGCAGAAGAGATTTGTTTGGGCCAAGAAACACAAGGAATGGACATTAGACCAGTGGAAATCTGTGCTTTGGTCTGATGAGTCCAAATTTGAGATCTTTGGTTCCAACCGCCGTGTCTTTGTGAGACGCAGAAAAGGTGAACGGATGGATTCCACATGCCTGGTTCCCACTGTGAAGCATGGAGGAGGAGGTGTGATGGTGTGGGGGTGTTTTGCTGATGACACTGTTGGGGATTTATTCAAAATTGAAGGCACACTGAACCAGCATGGCTA